TTTTTTCTCCACCCGTCACTACTGGGTTAAAATTTGTACAAAATTATTTTGTTTCTGATTATTTGAATGAACTGTGCTGTTACCATTTTTCATATCCAGTCAATTTTAGGGTGGTTGTGAATCTATCTAGCCAGCTGTAAATGTGCAATGGCTCTGTAGTCTTGTTTACACACACACAAGGATCCAGAAGCATAGATTCAGGTTACATGCCCAGAAGTTCCTGGAAAAATTTAGCCGAACCTGGGTGATGGGAACGTCAAGACAATTTTTCTGTGGAAGGTTGGGGTGACAGGAATGATTTGCCACAAGGGTACAAAGCTTTTGGAAAGTGATTAGACTCCACATGCATTTAGGATGGGGCTCTTGGATTAATCCTATTAGTAAACTAGTGTGGAATGTATTGTCCATGAACTGACTGGAAGAGTGCTGGCTCCTGGGTGGAAACCATTTCCATGCTCAGGGGTGGTATTTACAAAGTCTGACTGAGCTCTACAATTTTGTCTGAATTGCATTGTTGCCACTTAGAACAAACATACATCTTAAAGATAACAGATTACTATAATAAAACTATATACTGCAATAAATCTTGCTTCTACGATGACAATAGTATTACACAATTTATACAACTAAATTGGGTAGGTTTGTTGTCACTGAATAAGCTGTGAAGCTGCTTGGTATTTTCAAATAGAAAATTGTAAAATATGTAGAAAGTGGATCAAATAATGGTTAACAATAAATCAGAATGGGCCTCCAAAGTGTATTAGCAATTAGCGGATGTGTGACTGATCATCTTTAGGTCTTCGACTTGGCAAATTTGTCTAGGACTCCCCACTAAAAGGTCTTTGACAGGCAGCTTTTGTCCGACTCAGGTGAAACTTTACAACAGGTCCAGAAGTGTCTTACATGCGTAACAACCGTCTTTAACCCAATGGCGCTGGGTGTACAAAACAAAACAAAACAAAACAAACTATGCTTAAGCAAACAAAGGCGGCGCGCCGACTTTGAGCGCGTGAGTAGGGGACATCAGCCCAAATCACTGGCTCGCCGCTGGCTCTTTTGGCTGCACGCCAGCTTTCGAGCAGTTTGTTTGTAAGCCGATTGGCGTCACCCGGCACCAAGGGGTTAAAACTACTATGTAAATTTACACAAATGTGAATGGTTAATGGTTAAAAGCAAAATAAATGTGCTAGACATCTAAGGTCAAGTAGCACTATAGTTAATGTTAGTGAAGGGTGGTTGAGTTAGTGATTAGTTGTCAAAGCTGGGCAAAGGAATTTTGCGTGAATGGGTTAAGGTCGGGTGAGGTAATGTAAAGGGGTTAGATTAAATGGAGGATATATATGCGTTTGAGGAAGGTAAACGGGTTCCCGAGGATGTCTGGTAGGTTGGGGAAAGCTGAGGTACAGGCTACTTTACACAAATGTGCGGATAATTGTTCATCAAATGTGATAGGAAAGACTTGGAAGCCTCTCTCAAATTTATTGTCATAATCCTTAATTTAGTCGTTTATTATATTTTACTGATAATTTCTATTCAACATCCACAAGTAGTGCAAGCAATCTTTTATCTGTTGAAGATTATGCCACTTTGGAAATAAAAGGAAGTTTCAAAGCCTCTTTAGATAAATTATCAAACATTAATATGCGGTCTCCTACATTTTTATTGCTGTATTTTATTATTATGATCATTAAAAAAAAAAAAAAAAAAAAAAAAAAGTGGTACCAGCCTTTTAAACTGATCTAGTGACGAACATAAGGATCATCACATTTAGATATAAACTAAGGGTGTAATATTAATTTTATGATATAGCCAAGACTTATTGTCATATTCACTTTAATGTCCTATTACAGCAGATTACTACCAGCAATTAACTTTGAGATGTGGCAATGGGGTAAATCAGACAAAACTGCAAATAGACCTTGTGTGAATACTGTTTAAGGATCCTATTCCTGTCCGCTGTGATCAGTGCAGGTTGTATTACAGAAAATTGATTTTTTTTTTTTTTTTTTTTTAAACAAAATATGTACTATTATTATTGTGCCGAGTTCTGGACTACCTAAAGACATATGGTGTCCATGCAAGGAAAACTATTACTATTGGGATATAGCATATCAAATGACAAATATAAGCAAATATGACAATGGTTAATGGTTAAAAAAGCAAGATAAATGTGCTAGACATCTAAGGTCATGCAGCACTATAGTTAATGTTAGTGAAGGGTGGTTGAGTTAGTGATTAGTTGTCTAAGCTGGGCAAAGGAATTGGTAAGTGAAGTAAATATGACAAAGCAAAAACCACTTATGCAAAAAAAAAAAAAAAAAAAAAAAAAACATAGCAAAGGGAAGACACGAAGTCTTGACAGTGCAATGCAATCCAATGGATTAATAGCAACTCAAATTAGTATATATCATAATCATTAACAATGATGGTTATAGAAAACTTTTTCCCTGAAAATTCAAGGGATGGAGTAAATGGGAGATTGAAGGTTTCACCCTTGTACTCAGGTAAATAAGAACTTGTGAAGCCATACAAGTGTAAAAACATACTAAAGACTGCGTACCTTCAGACTCGGAACTGCTGTATTTTAGTGTTACCTTATCTTTCATCTAAGGTAACCAGACTACTTACTTTGGCTCTTGCCTCACTGAGCAGTTCTTGAGCGGCAGACCTAACTGGTACAGCACCAATTCCTGCTTGGCTCATCCCAAGGTGTAATTACCCCTCCCATTCCTTATGGAATTCATACCAACGTTTAGTAATGGAAGGCTTATAGCAGTTTATCATTTTACATCAGAACATCTATATATATAAAAATATTCTGTAACCTCTCTAGAAGCAAAATCACAGGTTACTGTAGCTAAATTGTAACATTAGCCACAAACTTCCAGAATTGTATATTTTGGTCAGTTCACTTTGCCTCAAATTTACTTGAAAATATTATAAATTTCTGAATAAACATCATGAAGCCATACATAAGAAGGGGAGGAAATCTTGACTGTATTGCTTGCTACTGCCAAGACAGACTTAAAACAATTGCAGTGTTACTCATGCTCACTGCACCAAAAGGGCTAAATAACATCTTACTTTTACACTACTATGGCATTCCTGAAACTAAATCAAAAGAAAGGGACAAACAAATAAAACCCAAGAACTTAGATTTTTTTTTCTTTACTAAAGGCAAACACAGCTTAGAACTGGATCATCTGTCCCTTCCTCTTCTTGTCACCTCCAAGCTCAAAGTGCTTGCATCTCTTGAGGGGGAGCTGGGACTTGATTCTGCACTTGTTGCATTCCATCTTTAGCACAATCTTCTTGGTGGTCTTGGCCTGGAAGATGAAGGAGAGGCTTCAGTACAGGAAATAAACCAACTCTGTGGTTGACTAGAATGCTTAACCCATTACTGCTGGGCCATGCGTATAGCTGTTATAACAAACTGCTTGATCTGCCAGGTACAGCTATCTGTGTGGCGATGCGCTAGAGTATCAAGCGGGTAGTTCCGCTTCATGTAGCAGACTCATGCTACAAATGGCAGGACAGTTGCCAGAAATTACTAGTTGGTAAAGCTGAGAGATTTCTACTATCTAAAGGTTAAGCGATTGGACAAATTCCATGACAGTACTTGGTTTGTCTTTCCAAACGTTGGGCACTATTTCCCCTTCTTTCAATTCAGCTAACTCCACTGCAGTATTCTACATGATGAATGGATTTTTACAATTTATTCCTTGGGATTATTCTTTTAATATACAAATATGTAAAATGTTTCTTGGCATTTCTCACCACATGCAACAATAAATTCACTGTACATGTCAAATTTAGCTCATGTCTATTGGCTATGCCACTGTAGCCAATAGATGTATCCACTTTAGTAAGCGAGTGAGTGAGGACCAATAAAGGTAGTTAACAGTATAAATTTTCTTGTCTGAATCTCTATTCTAGCATTTTCTCAATGATGACATGAGAATTAAGGAAGAAATGGCTCACTCATAAAACGATGTAGCATGGACACCAAAACAAAAAGATTAGGCAAAATTATTTCAACAGCAAATATTCTAAAATTCATCAAATTACAGGGTGCACACATTCTTTGAAAAGCTTTTACTATGAATTAATCAGGTGTTGCATTTTTCACTGAACCCAATCAAAAGATAAAATAATACACGTCTAATGAACCCCTATCATCAAGTTTCAGCCCCAAGTGCCAGGTAGTACAGGATGCGAGAGAGTTGTAAGTTTGACCACTTAAATTTTTTAGAGATGATCACATTCAAATTATCAGTCAAGAGTTATAATTAAATCTAATTTGTGATATAACAATATTAAAGAATATGATTTAAAGGACTAATGAGTATGGATAGGAAGTTCTAAAAAACTATTCCATAACTTATAGCAAGCAATTTCCATCTACCCTTGATAAATATGAAAATGGAGTCTTTCGGTCTTTTTACTGGGTGATGGAACCAAGGAACAAATGTACTCAATGCTTGCAGTAACATTAGTTGTGCTCTACAAACTGGTTACCTTCTTTCTGAAGATAGGCTTTGTCTGACCACCATATCCAGCCTGCTTCCTGTCGTAACGACGACGGCCCTGGGCAAACTTGCGCTCCTGGAAGTGGATGATTTGTAAGTAATACATTTTTTTTTTACATGCAAAAATTTACAAGTACTTAGGTCATATATGTGCTTTCCAGTCTGTTATATTAATTCTTAATTCCGAAAACCAATCCAAAATCCAAAATTCAAAACTCTTCAAATCTATAAAGGTATTATTAATTCACTCAACAATAACTTGGATACTCTACCTTGGACTTCTTATATTGCGACACCTTGTGATTCTGGTGCTTCTTGCACTTAATGCAGAAGGTACGTCTGGACTTGGGTACGTTCACCTGCAGGAATAGTAAGCTTGTTAAAATGTTTTAATAGAAGAGCCACAAAAGCAAATATGTCAATCACACATTAACCCATCGCCGCCGGATGAACAGAAAACCCCGAGCGTGATAAACTCGGGTGATTTTTTGTCAACGGCCAGGCACTGGGCACAGGAGTCTGCGACATCAATCCAAACATCCTGCTCCACGCACTCTGGTGCTATGCCATGCAGGCATACCCCGCAGACCATGTGGTTTGATATGACGCCAATGGGTTAAGAAAAGCACACAAAACAGTTAAATTTGAGTACATAAAAAGAAGTTCTACTAAACATGCAAGCCACTCTTAGCAAGCAGACATGATTATGTACCAAGAATATACCACAATTTCAAGTTTATTTCTGTAATTTCAAGGCCATCACTTGTTCCCCATAATTCCAATCCCAATTACTTATCAAAACATTATTAAGTCTGCGAAGACATATACAGTGTCAGTGTGGTCACCCAAGCATTTCCTAAGGTCTGGACTTGGGAACCGGATCACTGCCTTGGAGGCATTGTTGGTCTAAGGAGATAGGACTAGGAACTGCCTCTCTATCCTTTTAAACCAATATTACCAGAGAAATTGCATTCACTGTAGTATTTTACCGACAGTACTAACTGCAACGTAAGATACCAAAACCGTAAACAGTTGACACAGGTAGTACTCATAATTGGCTCATTGGCGACTTAGTATTTGTGGAGCCATCTATATGCAAAAAATAAAATTCAGTGGGTATAGCATGTACATACATGCTATCCCTGGTGGCTTTGATTTGAGTTATGAAATGAGAGGTTGCTGTTTTGCCACCTTGTAGTCAAAGAATTGAAGCAGAAACAAAAAATATTTCCATTTCCAATTTTCTTGAATATATAATTTATTAGAAGACAGCTGAAACCTTCATAATTCTATAAATAAGCAATGAAGATATTTCATTCTCCATATTAGCATCATTTGGTTGTCTTCTCAACCTCCTAGATAACTTACAATATGAATTTAAGTGTAGTCTTTTCAAACCAATTTGCCAACATGCTAACAAAGATTTTTGCATCATTCTTTTCAAGAGGAGTTTCTATGGATGAAATCTTTTCATAATACCAAGTTGAACCATCTTTATACTTTATCTTTTCCATCTAGTTCTTGAATATCTATGAACTTTAAATGCAGAAGTGATCTTAGAAAATTCAAAACCAATAGAGATGTAATATACTTTACAGCCTGTCAAATTTAGGAAGAGTTAAATCATACATGATGTAACAACAAAACAAGCAAGTGTTTTGACTTCATGCATGCAACATCCATGCTGATTAGAAAAAGTGTTAGTGCAAACACTTATCTTGCCCTCTCAGAGCTTTACACTGAAGTGACAGAAAAGATTAAGAGAGCAACGTTGATCTCCCCAACACAGTTCCCGTCAGCCTACATGGAGTACGACAGGCACCAAGTGTTGGGTGGTTGTTAAGTACACAAGTAAATTTAGCAAACTGTAGATGTTAGAGAAAACTCTACATGCAGTTTGTCTAAACATACGAGGAACTCCTCAACGTTAGCCTTTCACAGCTATCAACATTTTGCTCCATAAAGATAGAAAGAGAAAAAGGATCATTAATATTAACATATTCAATAGTCCCTACAGTGCATGGCAGACATGCATCAAGTGAAATTCAGCATTTTTACATATGGAGATGGATGGACTCATGGTCAATTCCCTATACAGAATTTGGGCCTGAATGACAAGATGCACAAATTAGACACTAGATCTTACTGGAAACTTCAATATTCAATATTTATAGCAATAGATACAGTAAGACAAGGACCATTACTTCCTATTGCTTATCTAATTATGCTACATAATGCCTGCAAAATAAAACTATACATTGTATGAAATAACATACAATTCATAATCAAAGACAAGTGTAGGAGGAAGAAAATACAAGAGTTTCAAAGATGATGAAAGGGGGAGGGGGGGATGCAAAACCTGTTCCTAGTAGGATAACTACTTGCACCGTTGAACAGTGCACTTTGTTACCTGTTCTTTTATCTTCTGTTTATGAGCAATATATGAGCATTTTCAAAAAAGCCATGGGCAATGCTTATAATAAGCTGCCATAGTTAACCAATCAAAATCCACACATCTAAGCTCAAATAGGCAAAAAATAAATACACAGTCATGAATTTCTAACACTTCCTAGTGACTTCTAGTGACCAACTATAAACAACAGGACTAGCACACCATGAACATGTGTTACTGAACAAGATAGAGATATAATAATTCCCATTTTTTTTTTTTTTTTTTTTTTTTTGATAGGGGAGGCAGGGAGGGGTGGGGGGTGGGGGGGTGGGGGGGTAATTCTTTTCAATACTACACATGCACTTGCCAGAGTTGGCTCTGCTCACTAACATACCAGCAAGGATTGTTTTCACCTTGGTATGCATAGCATGACAACTGAAACTTGGGAGTAAAGAGTGGACTTGTGCTACAAGTGACACTCTGCAATCTTTACTTTGTGACATCTGCATATAATTTCTTATATTGCAACCTTTTGTCCTCTATTAGATCTTCAATTCCCTCCAGCTTAGTGTCCATCCCATAAAGATTAACATCTTAAAATTCATTATTGGTTTGGTTCTCCTTGATGTAGATAGGAACTGAAGAAAGGTAATCTAACATGGGGTTTTGTAATACCAATAAATTTTGCAACAAACTAATGAATTTTACTTTTTACTATATTTGACTTCCTTCCCTCATGGTTTTTCCTACTACTAAACCAAAATCAAATGTGGACATCCATCACATATATTGCAGACAGTTGCAAGTGGAACTGAACAGGACATAAACAAGAGCCTGTTTGCATCTCCCCTTTTAAAGACACTGTACTTTAACAATTAAGAGGAAAACAGTTACGAGTGAGGTGTCAATTATAGATATGCAAGTGATAATTTTTTTTAGAAGTAAATAAGCATTATCAACAAATGTTTGTCAGTCAGGTAAATAGTAAGAGGACACGTCTATGTGGTAGCCGTTTTGTCTATCTGGTGCGAGGATAACTAAGGTAGGCTCAGTTAGATTATGCAATTACAACTGTCATTGACCAATTACTTGCAAACAATATTATAACAGTAATCAACCAGGAAAAAAATGGAATACCAGCAAAATAGCAAGATCTTAGCAATAAACTAACTGCCATGCAAATACAAACTAAAAGCAAACAGAAATAATATCGCAATTTAAAGTACTTTGCAAATTATGTATGGGGAGTAATAATTACCGAGAAGTAAAACAACTTCATAATAGTAATATCTGAGCTCAATAGTACTCGGTACTTATAAATGCATTACACATGGTTTGTGGTCGAGTTGCAATACCCTAACTCACACAGGAAACCCAGAAACTACTGTGAAGTATGAATTCTGCCATCTGAACTATGCAGTATTAAAAAATCTCTTTCAACTGTATTATTAACCCCAAAAGGTCCTAAATGCCATGATGCTACAAAAGATGTCAAAACCTGGCAGGCTATTTTCCTGCATGGGATGAACAAGATATGAATGAATGGTCTGCATGGTCCAGTTCTCCTCCCTCCTCTTCCCCAGTGATGGTGTCATCTCCCTTCATGCTTCATGCTATACAATATACCTTTTTAAAAAATCATTTTTGGTTATGAATGCTCATATGTTTCTGGTTTTCCGTCTCCATTTTGCTGCAAGTGAGGTAAGATTGTGTAAGCTAACAAGGTAATTTCTGGTTCATTTGCTGCTATGCCCAAGCCTCCCTTCCACTCCAATTCCCTCTCGATCTTGTTGCCAAGTCAAGAACATGCTTTTACTATTTATTATTACTGTACAGTCTCAATGTCCAGCAATAATTAACCAAAGATTTTCAGCTTCATTTGATCCATCATTTAAATAAGCTCCCTTGTACACAGAAATTGCTGGTCTGTAATGGCTAATAAACATTTACTTAGTGAACTTGAGTGAAAAGATAGAAAAGGGATCCTAGGGTGCATTAGGCTTGCATTAACCTTGGAGGGGGTACAAGGGAGCACTGGGTGGGAGGAGAAACTATCACAAAAAAGGGCTCAATAGAGATACAACAATAAGGGAAGGGAGTGGGAACCTCTGTGGCTGAGGCTGGAGGAAGGATGATCATTAGCAAAAGATGTGCCAGATCACATGCCACAAGTTAACAAGCCTGATGTGGTACAGATTGAAAAACCAGGCCTTACTTAATATCATACGGAGAACAGCCTATTGCTGAGAACAAAAAGCTATTTCTTACTAATGGGGGGGGGGGGGGAGATAGGATGTATGTATATCAGCCAAACCCATGACAGCCCTTACAATCTAGTATACCAAAGTGGCATTCACATTCTTAATGTGTCGTTTCCTAAAAACAAACTATCAGCATAACTGCCTAAGTACTGCTGGAGTTCAACCAGGTACAATACTCCTGTAAGGTTGGTAGTTGTGTCACTAAAATGCACTGTATTCTTTTATTGACATGCAACACCTGCTCCCATATAAAATCACATAATGCAATGCTATTTCAAGCATTGGCTCATCTTTAAAAGTGTTACTGAAAACCAACAATATGAAACAGGACCATGACTATGTAAAAGGTGTTTAAAGCTTTTCAAATGCAGTACTAAGATTATAAACCTACTATAATGCACCTGTATCATTCATAAATACAATAAAGACCTTTAGTTTAAAACCCACTGGCAACTCCACTGTAAAGGCCTCTCCAGATGTGCAGGCATGATCAACGGGCACATGGGAGGTCACAGGTGGACAAACTACTTGGTAAACGGGTAGTTTCCAGGTGGTTTCCCCTCCTTTACAGTTGCCTACCACTGGCTGCTCATGTGGACAGGCCTTTAGTCATAATTGTGGCAGCATAGACAAGCTATCAGTTGAAAGAAAATACTATTTGGTTTCCAAATTGAGAATCAAATGATCTAATAGTCTTTAAAGTTACCTTGTCCAATTAACCCAATGCTGCAAGGGATGGCATGTATGGACATTCCATGCCAATAGAGTTTAGGTCATAAATTGTTCTAACACAGAAATTAGTTCTACAGGTATCTAGTTTAAAAGGTGCCAATCACTAATACTTCCTGTCTTATATTGCTATTTGTAACTTGTGACATTACAATTATCATAACATACATAATATAAATTACAAGATCGATAATGATAGCACTGAAAAAAAAATCCCAGCAAATAAAGGAACGGTAAAGTCAGACAAGTTCACGAGGTCTACTATTCAACTTCTTGGTGGCCGAGTACTTGTAGAGCCATGTATGTATAGAGACATTTCACGAAAGAAGGCTAAAGTGAACAGCAAAAATGGGTTAAACTGGTTTTAAAATCTTGAGTAGGAAGCCAAGACAATATAAAATATTTATACTCTTTGTTGCAGTGCATCCATGAAACTCATTCATCATCTGATGTGAAAGCAAAAACTGACACCTCTAAAGACAAGCTAAGTTATTAATCAGAAGTTGATGAAACCTTTTTCTTAATTAGGATTTTTATATATCTAATTACCACTGCCAAACTTTACTATTGGGAATTTATGAAAGTAAGCGAGTCTCCTCATTTTTGTTGTGGCTTTAAAGTTGATATCAAAATGAATTGTGAAAATAAATACATACATTTATTAATTTACTATGACTGCTATTATAATGAACCAACAAATCAATACACTGACCATTTTTGAAATACCCATTTGGCAACATGACATGCATATAGCACTACTCCAATAGAGGTATATAAAAGGAAATATACATTCATGTCAATTTAGGTTTGAATAACCCCCAAATATTTTTAGGAAGACTTAAAAGCATTTGCTCCAACCTCCTTAGCTACCTGTGCTAGGGTAAAGGTTGGGTTGATTAGTGAAATCTACATAGATGGCTCCACAAGTGCTTAGCCACCAGGGAGTCGATTAGTAGACCTTAACTAATTTTACTTTTCCTGTTATGATTGTAGACATTCCAATTATCATAATGCTATTGACATTACTTATAGCAATAGACAAAATCATTCCCAAAATTGAGGAAAAGGGTAAACAGGTCAACTCGCAGTTGACGTGGCATGTATTTGCATGCCATCCCTGGTTAATCTAATGAATGGCTTAGTATCAAAAGATAAAACAGACAAATGCAATGACTGAAGTTATCAACATCTATGCACATTCAGAACTAGAGTTCCAGTCAAGGAACCTGCACCACAAGTTCTGGCAAGACAAGAGCTTCTAGACTTCCCACATAGTCAAATGAGGGAGGCATCTGGGCCCTTGTTTTGCCAGAAAACACATGGTACAGGCTTGTCTGTCTTTGCCAAGATTACTAGGGTTTCCTGCTTAGCTAACATCTGGAAAGGAGGTGGCTAAAGCTTGTGTTAATTACAAACAAGTTTTGACAAAAAACTGGTTTTGGGCATACATTATGTACAAGGAAGTAAAAATCCCTATACCCAAAATACATGTCAAATAATCTAGAATTCAGTCAAACTTATTGAATTTAATAATTTTGAAGTGGTTGTCCCATCTTAAACTTTAACCCCAACCCAATATAGCACTTTCATCATATCTGTTTAAATGTGTGCCCACAAGAGTACTAAATCCAGTACTGTACAAGTGATCCATTAGCAATATTAAAATCAACACTGTTGGTCTTCATATTAGAAGAACTATCAATCAAGTCTTGAATTCCATCAAACCCCCCCCAAAAACAGGGATATACAACTAATAAAAGGTTTTATCTGGAGCGTCTCACGATAGCCAAAACCATATGTTGACGGCTTCCATCCTGCCAAACCAAGCCACACAATGGAGATCACACGCAGGCAGCCGCTTCAACTCAACTGTAATTGGAGCTGGCCGCATGGAATGTCCCCCTACCAACCAACATTTGGCCTCAGCTTGTTAAGCTTGTTAAGGGTGGGTAATTGTTATTTCTATATAGTATTACTAACAATACCGCATTCAGAGTTGTGCTTTCAGCTCAGATGACTGATCTTGTTGCTCGGTCATTCGCATTCGTGGTCATCAGCCCCTCATCACCCTTATTACTCAAGATACAAAATTGAAATCAGTAGACTAAAAATGATGCAATTATTTATTGGAGTGGATTTACTGGGTGGAACCAATCAAGTGTCTCAAAATATGATACGTGTACCAATCAATCTGATGTGTCAAGACAAAATGGTTTCGTTTGCTGAATGTGAACGTTTTAGTTGGTCGAGTTATACCTAACAGTAGCAAATTTTGAGGTTTAAATCACATTATGCATTACTTCATAACCACTTCCTTCTTGGTTTACAAACACACCTCTTCCTACTAGGTCAAGCCTCAAAGTCTCAGTAATTGTTTACAATACCTTTACATAACTGACAATTTTGGTATGGATGGATTCCTCTCGCCAACGAGTTTACAAATATATAGGATCTATTCTGTGGAACCCCCCAAAACCCTCTTTCTTGGCCCCAACAGCATGGGAGAGCATAAAAGATACAAGGGAAACTGTGGGGTAAAATGTCTAGTATAAATGAAGTACAGCTCTATGATAACATACAATAATAAGTCACGATACTATCCAAGGCAGGGGGCAAGGGTTGTGGGACATCGACCCTCCCAGATGGGGATCAACAACCTTCCCCCGTCTGTCCTGCGAACTACCCTGCCGTACGTATGTGACAAATTCCTTGATGTCCAGAGCTGGGGTTAGGGGGCAGCGGCACTGCTTGATGAGGATGCAGGGGACACAACCCTTTGTATTAGACTTTAAATAGATTATGTATCTTTGGAAGTTGCCCCATTACTTCCCTGGTATCATTCACGACCTTCCCAATTACCAAAGTCAAGATTGTGTGTGTGTGTGTGGGGGGGCGGGGAGTTACACGAGATAATATCTATCAGGGCAGTAGAGGGCAAGAGGAAGCCACCGACACCAATATCGGGGAGTTCGGCCATGCTAAGGTATTCTGAATATTTACGAAAGTTTCTGTTGACTTGTCCAGACAAGCTAGATAGGACACCAAATGTTCTTTGCATTTACTTTGCCCATCCACTTTCGAGCTGAATGGACAGTTCCAAAAGCAGCCTAAGGCTAATGATACGACTACCATGTGCTCGCTTGAAGCCCATGTGCATAGAATCAGAAATATGGACCTTACTGCAAAATAAGAGTGGTTTCTCACAATATAACCTTAAATTTCCTCCATACCACTGTCTAAATGGATTCGAGCCGGGCTAAAAGGCCTAGTCACGTGTTGACTCAATCCCGTACATATGACGTATTTCCTATTTCCTGACTCCTACCCCAGGATATGAAAACAGTTAACATACATGCACATGATAAACCTCCTCTTAAAGCTATTTAGGTAGGCCTAGACTCAAAACCAACAAGTTATAAGGGTTTCTCATCAAAACATGTGGTTCGACGGGCCTGTCCCTAATCAGCTGACCGGCCAATCGCCACTCCTGAACATCAAATTCTATTGACCTAGACCTGATTTGAAGCCTTATAACTTCCCAGGGTGTTGCAAATTCATATAGCAGTTATAAGTATTAGTTTTTTACCATTTTGTCCGCCTGCGAGTCCTTAAAAGAGTCAAAACAGAAGACGAAATCCTCACTTCTGTCCCACGTTGACTCGATGTAAACAAACCCACGTACACGCAACTTTCGACCTTACGACATCTCCACATCCCATGTTATTTCATCCACTTTTTCAAAGCATCACTCCACTTGCATCCACTTTTTCCCTTGCAGAACAACCCCGAAGAGTCGTCCAACACTTAAACCACCACACGACTCACGTACCATCTTGGTTTAGTATGATCCAGCGCGATTTAAAAGCTCCTTCGCCCAGACACAACAAGTCGATCCGACACCTGGACCTCAAAGGGCAGACCGGAACACGTCGCATCTCGTCCCCAAAGCCCTTCCAAACCAAATCCTTAATGCAAATTATTTATAAATAAAACTATATATTACCACAATCTACATAATTTTCTTAATATTTTAATATATAAACTATATCTCAAAAAAATAAATTAGAGAGAATAGAGGTACAGATGACGTCACGGGCGGCGGCGGGCGGGCAGCCAATCAGCGTGGACGGGGAGGCGAGAAGCGCGGCCATCAGTCGGTTTGAAATCGGCCTCGTGTCCGCGTCTCCCTCCACGCCTTCGGCCGAGCGAGCGACAACAAGCAAGTAACAACGAGAAGTACAAGAGTGTGTGTGTTTAAGGCCGCCACAGCGAACCACAATGTCCACCACGGAGAAGTCTGTCGCTAACGCCGGCGACGATGAAGTCAAGAAGGGGACCAAGAGGGCGGCTGAGGTACGTTTGCAGAAGAGGAGTGCAAGGGAGAGAGGCTGGGCGGGTTTTTATGCAGATAATAATGTTAAGTTTATTTTGTAATGTTAAGTTTATTTCCGTGAGGAGTGAGGAAACGAAGGGGGAATAGGTGAAGCCCAAGAGAAATAGAGACAGAGACAGGAGAAGGAGAAGAGTGCAAGTAGACGAGAGAGAAAATATATTTATCTTTAAAAATTTAGTGTGAATTAAAAAAAACGAAGGAGCTTCACATAACAAGAGATAGAAAAATAATAGTAAAAGTTTTTTATTTTTAATAGTAAAGTGTTTTTTTTTTTTAGCACGAAAGAGGGAAAGTAAAAAAAAACCCACGAAGTTAGTTTCTTTTTTTTTAGTTTCTTTTTTTTTAATATTTTTTTGTTTCTAAGTTTTAGTATTATTTCCCCCCGAAAAAGGAAATATTCTTAAAATCTCCCCCGTAAAGGCCAAAGTCCCTCGAAGTGTCAAACCCGGAATCCCCCCCAAAAATCGCGTCCAATCCCGTTCATCCAGAAAATCGCAAAGACGAGAAGAATAGAATAAACAAGAAGGGAATAAAGAATTAATAATATAAATATAAAAAAAACAAAAACAAAAACGAAGAGTGAGGGAAGAAGAGAGGAGAGAGAGAGAGAGAGAGAGAAACACCGCCCGTGCGAGGCTAGAGATTTGAAAGTTGGCGGGCGTGCGTGCGTGCGCGAGGAGGGCGGCCGTGCGAGGCTAGTCGGGCGGGCTGCTCCTGGCCTTTTCGGCGACTTTCGCGAATTTCCTTCTTCTTCTCCTTCTTCCTTCCTTCGCGGGTCCGGGGGCGTGGGCGTGGGCGGCGGCGACGGAGGCGGAGGGGGCGGGGGCGCGGCGGGCGTGCGGGCGGGAGGGCGGCAGAGAGGGGCGAAGGCGTAGGTCTCGTTTAAAAAAAAAATAGTAATAATTATGGGAAAAAAAAATCATGTGATTAGCACTATGTTAAGTTTTAGGGGATTTTTTTTCTGTAGGTTTTCATTTTATTTGTCTTATTTCTTAGTAAGTTTGGGGAGTGATGTTTTTTCATTTATTAAAGTGCGGGGTTATCGTGTAAAGAAGAAAAAAAAAAAGTTAATTCTCGAGTGGCTTCAGTTTTAGTCTTTTTCCCTATTTCGTCTTTATTACTTGTTTAGTTTGTACTGTCATGAGCTAAGTCTTGCATTCTGTCATTTATTCCTCGCTGTTCTGTCGCTTGCGTTCGTTAGGTTCCGTCTTGCATTATTCTTTTATTGCGAAAATCGGTCGTATTTTTGGCGATTCGGCGCGTTGGCAGTAAATGTCAAGTTGGTGTTCTCCGTAAAATGTACTTATTGGAAAACTTTTTAAAATGTCGGGTTGTGTGTGTGTGTGTGTGTGTTCACTGTAAAGGGGTTCAGGGAATAAGGAGCGTGTAGTTTTTTGGTATAATTGAAGTTTGTTTTGCTTTTCTTTTTCTGGGTATTAGTAGATGAGGAATTCCTTGCAATTGATCGTTAAGTGTTGTCTACTGTGGACTTGTTGCATTCGCCCAGTCTGTTCATCTTGACATGCGGTTGGTCATCTCGGTTAAGACAGATAGTGTGTGTGTGTGTGTGTGTGTATCTCTCTCTCTCTCTCTCTCTCTCTCTCTCTCTCTCTCTCTCTCTCTCTCTCTCTCTCTCTCTCTCTCTCTCTCTCTCTCTCTCTCTCTCTCTCTCTCTCTCTCTCTCTCTTCCCCCCCCAAAAAAAAAAAAAAAAAAAAAGTTATCCGTTTGTCTGCTAATAACGGTTTGCTTGTTTTTCGCTTGGGTTTGTCGTTCACTGCTTGCTGAGGAGCGAGTGCCTGCCTAGGCCTGGCGACTGGACTTGGCCCGCTGGCGTCGGGCGATGACGGGCGCCGGGCCGAACTTGGGCGATTGAATGCACAGGATTAGATAAGATACGGCGGAGAGTTGCAAGCAGAGGGAGGGAGAGGCGCGGGCGGGAGGAAGCTAGTTTGTACCAGATGCTGATAATGTTGCTAGTGAAACGGTCTCGTTTTGTCAGTTTGTGTGTGTGTGTGTATGTGCGTGTGCGCGCGCGCGTGTACGTGCATGCAAGCAAGTCTTAAACTTTTTATTTTTTTGTCACATGCATGTTTCCCCGTTAAGTCTGCAGTTGGAATGCATCAGATATTGAGAAGTGATGGCGAGGTAATTAAGTGTAATGGGTCCATGAGGGAGGAGTTGTCGGTACAAGTGGGCACACTTATGAGTTTGGCAAATAGTAACTTTATTAAAATGAAAGCATGATTGTAAACCGTTATTGATTTTTTCGGACTTCCTGTAGGCTTGGTCTGGGTTAGAGTATGCGAGATGAGTCCTTACGTCCAGTGGAAGGAGAGTCGACACGCGATTATTACCTCTAGCACCTCGCGTTGACGACCTATCTTTCACCCTGGCGAGGCTTTGGTCGGACAGAAGGGGAGGGGGGGGGAGAATCGCCCTTAACGCCGGCCGGTCTCGCCCTGTTCCTCCCTGGCGCGTGCAGGGCGGAGTTTCGACCTTACGGACGGCGGGCCCGCGCGATGCATGCTAGCCACGGGATTCTGAGCCTTACGGCGGGGACGCGGCGTGGGGCGGGAGGGGGGGGGGACGCTTGCCGCCGCGGCCGCCGCCGCTGCTGCTTTGCCGTCGTCGCTGGTGCTGTTCCTTCCGAGACGAAAATACTTGGCGGGCGGATGATCTCCTACGACAGGAGTGAACACGCGGCGGGAGGGATAGGGGTGGGTGGGTAGGGGGAGGGGGAGGGCTAGACTACCGCATTACGAAGCCAACACGGGATCTTAGACATTACATATCAGACAATATAAACATGTAGGTGTTTGAATTACCAAGAATGAATGACATGTGCAACTTCTCTTAATGTCTGAAAATCCTGTAGTCTTGCATATATTATAGAATGAAATGCTTTCCCTAGTTTCAACTTGACTTGCCTTTTCAAGGGGAAACTATCCATGAATAAAGATTCCATACTAACTTGATCTTTTCCCAACAGGAAGCCACCGATGATGCCAAGAAGCTGAAGGGAGAGGAGAATGGCGAGGAAGAAGTAGAGGAGGAGGAGGATCTGGAAGGAGAGGAGGACGAGGACGATCTGGCGGAGGCCGAGGAGGAGTTGGACGAGGAAGCGGAAGGTGAGGATCTCCATGTTTTGTTTTATGCTAAAACGTCCAAACTTGTGGAAAATGTACAATATGAACGAGTATTACCTGTTATAATTGCTAGCTTCAGTTTTTTTTCCCTGAATTGATTTTTTCCCTCATGTATTTAAATGGCATTTGTCTTTTTCACAGAAGAGGAGGAAGGTGAAGGCGAAGAGGGTGAGGGAGAGGAAGACGAGGAGGAGGAGGAGGATGCGTAAGGAGACAGCTGCAGAAGGAAGACCGGCATTGTACCCCTAAGCCGGGGACCACCTGAGGAGAGGACGCACGGCCGGGGGTGCCGAGGGCGATGGGCTCTGCTCCAGTTTTTATTATTGTATTATATTTCACGTACCTGTACAGTCAGTGTGAGCGTGTGGCGCGCGAGTGTGAATGTGCAAAGAGGCCCCCCTCGCCCCCGCCCCCCCGGCTCCACGGAGCTCAAGCGTCCTCTACCCTAGAGCAGCGGCGACGCCCGCGCCCACCTGCCGCCCACCAGAACCTCCGCCCGCACGCCCACGCGGGTGGTGGGGCCGTGGGATCCCGGCGCGACCAGGCAGCAGCAGCATGAGGAGCAGGAGGGAGAGGGCGCGGCACCAGCGCACCGTCGCCAACACACCACTGCGTGTAGTGTCTATTTTCCATTGATACCAAAAGCAAGCAGGGCTCCCTATTTTATTTTTCTACAATGCATCTCTTTTGAACTGATGTGTTTTTTGGGCAGTACAACATATGATGATTTTCATTCTTTAATTTCATAGGAGTGACAAGTGTCTCATTTTGTGTGAAAGTCAATAAAGCTTAAGTTGTCTGTATATGTGCTGTCTCATTCTGTGTTCTCATCCGCCGAGGTAGTGCGACCGGACGAATAACATCGTCCGCGCCTACATGACGAGACCCAAACCTCGTGACTGTCACCACACACGTTTATAATAAAACTGAAAATAGTTTTACTAACCTGAGTTTCTTTATCAACCACATGGATGGAAAAAACAGTACCTGGCATTATTACTATGGTATGATTTATTTAAAAATAATAAAAGTAAATAGTACTTTAATTATATCATTGTCCTGGAACCTTGGTTATGACGGGTAAGGGAAGGGAGGATCCCTCTTGGCTACAAGAACTCATTTGAAGTTGGAGAATTCTAGACACCGGCACATTGCAGGGCCGTGTCAGGGTTAGGCCCCTATTGCTCACTCCACGTGATACAGCAGATGGATGTGTTGCTTTTCCCCTGTCCTGTTTGACGCGCTCGTAGGTCCTCCCTCTGCCCTTCCCTGCGACAAGGGACGGGAGTCTGTGAATAAAGATTGTGCAATAAGCGAGGCAGAACAATGGGAGGAGTTGAGAATCCTGGTGAGGTGTGGAGGTGGCAACAGCGCCGCACCACCATTCCACCCCAACCCAACCACCACTACGCTCTCACGGGAAACCCTGTGCTCACAACAGCTATGCCTCCTGATAATTCATTCAATCGCTTAGGCTTCGAGACTGTCACGGCCTCTAGATACGCCACGATTCTAGATCAGACATAATGCTCAAGTACTGAGAGAGAATAGGATGTGTTGATAGGCATTACAGAAAACGGCTTTCTCAGGGGTGGAGCTCAGACTTGGCTATCGTCAGCGTGTCACGTGTACGGGGGAAAGGTAAGCTTATTGAGAAATAGAAAAGGTTAATGGGTTTATACACTGTACTAACAGATGACATTATGGTACGGCATTACTTTGCAATTATGCAAGATAAAATGAACAGTAGAAAATATATAATAACCTTCAACAATTGGCAACGCATCAAATTGTTGATTCAAACGTGTGTTACATCTAAGGTCATCTCATATTAAGCAAATTGATAGGAGTCTGATTCATGATTATTGAGAACTTCACTCGACATTTTAGAGTAAAATAGTGTATTACGCAAAGAACTAACAGATAAATTGTCAAGTGCCTGGCCAAGTCTGCGCATGCGTTCCACCAAACCCTTGAGGGCGGACAAAACCGACCTTCAGCGATATCAATACATTGTTTTTTTTTCTGCCGCTTTCCTTGTCTGTATTTCCTAATTCATTTCATTGACGTAATACTGGGCGTTTAGTGCATAACATTCCATACATATCCAAATCATTATAAATAAAATATGGTAACGTCACCAAGCAGTGAAAGAGACTGCGGCGTCTATGCAAGCAAGTCAATTTGCCAATAGTAGTAGAAGGCGATATTTCATGCATGCTGATGATCATCACATGCCGTAACGCTACGCACCAGCAGGGAAATTGGCTGATATATTTAGGGATCGCAAGTTGGTTTGGCAACCGGATTATCTAACCTCACTACTTAACTTACCTGATTCTTTAAACATGTTCTAAGAACTCGATCACTCCGGAGGGGGTGAGCATCCTGCCGTCATGTCACAATAACGGAAGACAGTGGTGGTTTCTGAGTCCCTCGTCAGAGCATTCATTACGCATGTCAACCTGTGCGAGTTTAAGAGATCTCTTCTGTGAGTTCACAAATTATTTCTCCCCACCTCGCTCTTGCGTCAAGGAAAACGTTCTCTA